TAATAAAAAAAATTTAAAAATGTTTGGCGTTATGGGGTATTGTGTGTAGACTGAGGGAAAGAAAAAAAAAAATCTAATTTAGAATAAGTCTGTAACGTAACAAAATGTGGAAAAAGGGAAAGCCGCGGAAAACTTTCTGAATACACTGTATGTGTAAAATATATATATATATATATATATATATATATATAGTGAGGGGAACAAAGTATTTGATCCCCTGCTGATTTTGTACGTTTGCCCACTGACAAAGACATGATCAGTCTATAATTTTAATGGTAGGTTATTTGAACAGTGAGAGACAGAATAACAACAAAAAAATCCAGAAAAACGCATGTCAAAAATGTTATAAATTGATTAGCATTTTAATGAGGGAAATAAGTATTTGACCCCTCTGCAAAACATTACTTAGTACTTGGTGGCAAAACCCTTGTTGGCAATCACAGAGGTCAGACGTTTCTTGTAGTTGGCCACCAGGTTTGCACACATCTCAGGAGGGATTTTGTCCCACTCCTCTTTGCAGATCTTCTCCGAATCATTAAGGTTTTGAGCCTGACGTTTGGCAACTCGAACCTTCAGCTCCCTCCACAGATTTTCTATGGGATTAAGGTCTGGAGACTGGCTAGGCCACTCCAGGACCTTAATGTGCTTCTTCTTGAGCCACTCCATTGTTGCCTTGGCTGTGTGTTTTGGGTCATTGTCATGCTGGAATAACCATCCACGACCCATTTTCAATGCCCTGACTGAGGGAAGGAGGTTCTCACCCAAGATTTGACGGTACATGGCCCCGTCCATCGTCCCTTTGATGCGGTGAAGTTGTCCTGTCCCCTTAGCAGGAAAACACCCCCAAAGCATAATGTTTCCACCTCCATGTTTGACGGTGGGGATGGTTTTCTTGGGGTCATAGGCAGCATTCCTCCTCCAAACACGGCGAGTTGAGTTGATGCCAAAGAGCTCGAATTTGGTCTCATCTGACAACACTTTCACCCAGTTCTCCTCTGAATCATTCAGATGTTCATTGGTAAACTTCAGACGGGCATGTATATGTGCTTTCTTGAGCAGGGGGACCTTGCGGGCGCTGCAGGATTTCAGTCCTTCACAGCGTAGTGTGTTACCAATTGTTTTCTTGGTGACTATGGTCCCAGCTGCCTTGAGATCATTGACAAGATCCTCCCGTGTAGTTCTGGGCTGATTCCTCACCGTTCTCATGATCATTGCAACTCCACAAGGTTTGACCTTGCATGGAGCCCCAGGCCGAGGGAGATTGACAGTTATTTTGTGTTTCTTCCATTTGTGAATAATCGCACCAACTGTTGTCACCTTCTCACCAAGCTGCTTGGCGATGGTCTTGTAGCCCATCCCAGCCTTGTGTAGGTCTACAATCTTGTCTCTGACATCCTTGGAGAGCTCTTTGGTCTTGGCCATGGTGGAGATTTTGGAATCTGATTGATTGCTTCTGTGGACAGGTGTCTTTTATACAGGGAACAAGCTGAGATTAGGAGCACTCCCTTTAAGAGTGTGCTCCTAATCTCAGCTCGTTACCTGTATAAAAGACACCTGGGAACCAGAAATCTTTCTGATTGAAAGGGGGTCAAATACTTATTTCCCTCATTTAAAATGCAAATCAATTTATAACACTTTTGACATGTGTTTTTCTGGATTTTGTTGTTGTTATTCTGTCTCTCACTGTTCAAATAAACCTACCATTAAAAGTATAGACTGATCATTTCTTTGTCAGTGGGCAAACGTACAAAATCAGCAGGGGATAAAATACTTTTTTCCCTCACTGTGTGTATATATATACACAGTACCAGTCATAAGTTTGGACACCTACTCATTCAAGGGTTTTTCTTTATTTTTACTATTTTCTACATTGTAGAATAATAGTGAAGACATCAAAACTATGAAATAACACATGGAATCATGTAGTAACCAAGAAAGTGTTAAACAAACCTACTCTGCATCTCACAAAGATACGGCGGTTGGAACCAAAAATCTCAAATTTGGACTCTAGAACAAAGGACTGATTTCCACCAGTCTAATGTCCATTGCTCGTGTTTCTTGGCCCAAGCAAGTCTCTTCTTCGTTTTGGTGTCCTTTAATAGTGGTTTCTTTGCAGCAATTCGACCATGAAGTCCTGATTTCACGCAGTCTCCTCTGAACAGTTGATGTTGAGATGTCTGTTACTTGAATTCTGAAGCATTTATTTGGGCTACAATTTCTGAGGCTGGTAACACTAACTTATCCTCTGCAGCAGAGGTAACTATGGGTCTTCCTTTCCTGTGGCGGTCCTCATTAGAGCCAGTTTCATTATAGCACTTCATGGTTTTTGCGACTGCACTTGAAGAAACTTTCAAAGTTTTTGAAATTGATCGTACTCTAAACAAGATAACTATCCCTGATCAGTACACTATTCCTCGCATTGACAACACCCTAGACAGCCTGACTGGGAGCAAGTGGTTCTCTGTCCTAGATCTGCGTAATGGCTACTACCAGATTGCCATGAGCCCTGATGATAAGGAAAAGACAGCGTTCATCTGCCCTCTGAAGTTTTACCAGTTCAAATGAATGCCTCGGGATTACCGCAGCACCAGCTACATTCCAGTGCTTGATGGCGAGAGCAGTAAGCGACATGAATCTTATGGAGGTCCTTATCTACCTGGACAACCTGATTTTTGTTTGGACGGATCCTAGAAGAGTACGAAGAACGGCTGTTGAAGGTTCTGGACTGACTGGAGGCGTGCGACTTGAAGCTGTCATTGGACAAATGCCAGTCCTGTCAGCCTCAGGTCAAATATGTGGGCCACATTGTCAGAGCAAGTAATTGCTACCAACCCCACCACAGTAGAAGCAGTGGCCACATGGGAGAAGCCCACAGAATTGAGGTCGTTCCTGGGATTATTATCAACTACTCAACCATTGTGAAACTCATGACAGACCTAAAAGGCTACCAACCCATCAAGGGAAGAAGGACAAAATGGCCCTACAACCAAGTACTACAAGATTGGAGAGCAATTTGGAGAGTGGTGGAACCACCACTGTGACACGGTGTTCAAATAAATCATCTATGCTTTTACCCACGCCTCAGTGTTGGCTTTTGCGGACAACACCAAGCCGTACACCCTCCATGTAGATGCCAGTTTCGAGGGGATAGGAGCTGTTCTGTACCAAGAGTATCTTGAGGGGCTGCACCATGTAGCTTTTGCAAGCAGAAAACTGTCGGCTGCAGAGAAAAGATACCCAGTCAATCAGCTTGCCAACCTAAACCATCTGCTACTGATTGATCATCTAGTCAGGCTGGCCAAAGAACCCCAGACCCTGCAGGTCGCCCCGCCTCAGGCTGCCACGCCATCACGAAGAAACAAAAAGCCAGCTGACCAAACCAAAAGGTCACATAATCCTACACGTGACTTACCTGACACAGACTCTGAAGAGGAGGGATGTTCAGTCGGCATCTATGATCTGCCCAGTCTGATGGGCCTGGTTCTGCCCATAGTTCTGCAAAACGCTGAGCCTGAGGGCATGAGAGGTAGCCAGGATGACCGGTAGCTGGACACTTGAGGAAGTACCGGAGACACCTGACGACCTAGAAAGCGTAATGGGAGAGGGGTTACCTTTCAGGATCAACTTGTGTATCCCCGTCGATCACAGAGAACGGGTCGAACCCCGCAGAGACTTACATATGTTCAATCTGGAGTGTCAGTGGATTTCCCTGTCCAGATCGTGCACAAAGGCATAGTGATCTTAGTGGAGGTTGACTGCGGACCACACAGAAAGACTGATAAGCCAAGGGCACGTGTGGTACCAAACCGCCCGCACACAGCTACGTGTGAAGTAAGCTCTTTATTTATCCTCACCGCCTAGTCCCCTAGTGTTAGGCCAGGTGTATAAGGGCATACAGACCTGTTAAGAGGGGAAGGATGTAACCCAGCATTAATCCCTGTTTCTGCCTTGGCCAATCAGAGGGATAGTAGGGAAAGTGAAGGGAACAAATGACAATAGCTGGGGGGCGGGAGTTAGTCCTATGATGATTTAAAAAATATTTTTAATGTTTTATTCCCGGTATATAGCTGTGGCTGTCTTCTGTAATTTAAATGTATTTTGTGTGTAGCGTATAAATTGCCAAGAAGACGAGACCAGATAGCGACTCTAGATACCGGCAATTCTAGTTCTCTGGGTCCTGTCTGAAGATACGCGACGCTACTAGCTAATATTAGCAGCTAACTAGCTAACCTTATTCTAGCAAGTCACCCCTTAAGCAGCAGATACATTTGTATTGTGAGTACCGTGTGTCAAAGTAGTTTAGGGCGAGCTCAGATAACTACCCTAAATATAAGGAAATTCTAGGGTTTCCTCTGAGTCTCTCGTGAAGAAACGTCATCTGGCTAACTAGCGTTTCCCACCACTGCACTGAATACGGACCGCTCTCGCCTGCATTGGAACTCCCGCTCCAGAATACACGCACACACACAGAAGGCAAGCACAAAGATTGTGCTTGTTCATTTAGTCCCGTTGAGGGACGAAGCACAAGCCTACAATGTAGTAAGACTTTTTACATTTCAGAGCTCTGGTAGTTAAAAGGGTACCCTGTTTTTTTTAAAGGTTGCGACTGTTTGTTATTGAATGTGTATGGTGAATGCAATGTTTTTAATTCGATTGATTGTCTTGGTGCCATACTGATTTGGGTTATGTTTAACTGCTACTGAATGTCTTTATTGAGAGAGGTTGTGTTGCTTGTCCATACAATTCCTCAAATGAGACATTTTGGTGTGTGCATTTTGTTGTAGTGTGTCTGATAACGGGCCAGGTTACACTAAGGGTATTTGAATAGGGAATGAGAGAACACCTGGGGTTATTTAATTTTAGTTAAACCCCAGACCACCCCTTTAGACCACTATCAACCAGACTTCACCCTGGTTAGGAAAAAGTGTTACATATGTATGTTTATTGTGTCGTCTTGTGGTCAAGTGTTGATTACATTTATTGATTGACGTGTATTACAGGAGACTCATGTGATCCACACGTTTAAAGAAGATTTCTATGGACAGATCCTCAGTGTAGTCATGGTGGGCTACATCCGTCCAGAGAGGAGCTATGACTCGCTTGGTAAGAGTACTGGTGTACACACACACACACGCGTTCCTCCATCCTTGTACGGACACAGCAATCCTCAGAGACTTAAGGACACACATTCTCACTCCTGTCTCTGTGTTTGCAGATGCCCTTATAGCAGCGATCAACAATGATATTGAGGAGGCCAAAAGAAAGCTGGAGCTCCCAGAACACCTCAAACTCAAAGAGGACAACTTCTTCAGAGCCTCCGCCAGCACGTCCATGACGACGTCCAACAAGATCATGAATGGCCACTGACCTCTAATCACATCACACAACATGTTGTTCACTCTCGCGTTGCTCATCACTCGGTAAAGTCAGTGTCACAAGTATGCATCCAAATGTAATTTTTCTCTAGGCCTATTTACCTGGCCGGCAGAGGCCTTGCTTGTATTTGTTTAGTGTGGTGCAAACATGAACCACTGAAGTTAGGGAGTGCCTCATCAAAAACAGCCAAGTGATTTCCCAACACTGCTTTGGGTGTTTTCCATGGCAGTTGAATGACTGGATGGTTGACAACTAATGGGCTCGCCTGTCTGTTATCCTCTATGCTATGTCCTGTCTTTCTCTCTGTAAACACTACCACAGCAAGGGCCAATATATTACTTTTTCAATCCTCTGTAGAGATTTGTTGTGAGCATCAAATCTGGGTATCATTGTATCCGACCTGACCTGAAGCTACAGTAGACCACGGTCGTGTTCATTAGGGCACACAACCAAAAACACTTCAGAATTGGACAAGTTTGGTGCCTAACGAACACGATCCTGATAATGTGCAACTCTAGGAAGTGAATGATCTTAATGCGTGTTGAAAGGAGCCCTGTACCACCATATCCACTGCTAAGGGTGGCAGGTAGCCTAGCGGTTAGAGCGTTGGGCCAGTAACTGAAAGGTTGGTGGTTCGAATACCCGAGCAGATAAGGCACCCGTCTGCTGCCTTTGCTCAAGGGACGCTGTACTACTATGGCTGTCCTTGTAAAACACTTCACTGCATCTATCCAGCGTCTGTGACAATAAAACATCCTATTAAAATTAATGGTCATTTTGTATTGGTTTAGAATTGGGGTTTAGTCTCATGACTTTGCACTCAGTTTATTCCTCCTTTTCATATTCCGGTGTATTCAAAAGGTCTGCCTTGAAGCAGAGAAGTCCTCAATATATCTTGCATTTGATCTAGGCTAAATAGTTGCATTATACACAGCACTGAATTCATGTGTATTATTTTATTTGAGAAACTGAAGTTATTTGACCTACGCAAACTGCATGGTTGGCTAAAGACAAATGCAGCTTCAGTTTTCTGATGTTCTTAATTTGTATAGTTCCTCGTTGGTCAAATCCAGTATTCTCCCTCCCCAGCAATGAGGGCCATTTATTTAACACTAAAGATTTGTCAGAAAAATAAAAAATGGTGCCACTTAACTGTCTGTTGAAAGTTTCCAGAATTTAGTTTTTACTGACTTAACCTTGTCATAATCTTAACCTTGTGTTTGGACCCTCATTCCACTGAGATAAGCACTGATATGGTACAAGAGAGGACTGAAGCCTTGTTAACACTGCAGGCCTTAATGCTCAAAGGATAAGATGATCCAACTTTCAAAAGTCTTTTTTGGTCTAGCCACAGCAGTCAATTAGCTAGCTAGGTAGCTCTTTAGCATTCTAGCACATTCATTCATTTGTTTGTAAACAATTAACAAGCTAGTTAGCTACATGCTTTTGTCAAAACTGTCAAACGAGTAGTTGGCAAGCAACAAGACATACCAAATAAGTGTTAAAAAACACAAGGGCAAGTACATCAGATTTGACCGTTCAGACACAAGTTGCATGGCCAGGAATCAGATTTGTATCTGTGGCTTCAAATATCTGATTCCATGTGCTTTTTGGCTGTTCCGACTGCAGGAAAAAGATCAGATTTCAAATCAGATATGCAAAAAAAAAAGGATTTGAGTCACTTCAAACTGCCAATATGAACAAGGCGTGAGTCCAAGGTTCTGATTCTCTGCAGATGGATGCGATGGGAATATGTGAGTTTTCTTTCCTTGTCATTTCTTCAGAGTGTCGAGCATACGTACGTAGTGCTTAATAATAAGTTGTTCAAAATGAATTGTGAGCTAAAGTGATTTGAGATTTAATGTATTTAAGAGAGGCTAATTTTGGCAGAGGAAACAATATGGCTGTTGTTTATAATATATTAATGTTTTCGTAGACCAAATCTGTGAATATGATTCTATATTCCCCGTCCCTACCCTCCAAGTTCCCCTCTTCAGATTTTGAGCTTTGTTCCTTTAAATAAATCATGGCCTTTTTATTGCAGGCGACCTTAAATTCCCCCTCACCCATACCCAGAAAATGTATTGGGGTAAGTAATTGATATGCATAAGTAAATGTGTACAATATTATTCAACAATGACGTTTTGAAAGATATGCAATATGGGATGAGATCAGTCATTATAGCATTTAAAAGTCCAGAGGGAAAGTTTTCCCTGGGTTAGTTTATGGTTACGGTTTGGTTAGAACATGGACTCAGAGCACCAGTTGTAGAAGAGGGATTTGTCTTGTGTTCCCCAGACCTATATGCCTGACTGGTTAGCAGTACTATGCCTTAGTACCACAGAAGGACATTGACCAACATATACATACGGTTTCCCATAAACATACTTAGCAGAATCTGTGTTAATGTAAACCCAGTGTTCTCCATTGTCTGTCTAATCTGACTTTCCCTGTCATTAGCCTGTGCAGTGTTTCCCAAACTCTGTCCTGGGGCCCCCCGGTACACTTATCATGCAGTGCTAGCTATTGCCTTAGTACTGTAGTCATGGGCGGCTCCTGGGAGGGGCAAGACTGTGCTGAAGCCCCCTCAAGCATAGCACCCCCAGGAAAGATTGTATTAGGACATGCACACCAAATATTACAGGCACCCCTACACAATGGCCAAGCTACCCCTGTGAAACATTTTTGGTGCCACCACTGACTAGTTAAACCTACAATAAACAGTAAGCAAACACATGACTCGAAGGGCCATTCTAATGTTTCTCAGTCTGTAATGGTATTACTCTGAAGGCTAGGGTCGTGTTCATCAGGTCAGTTTGTAGCTGATTTATTAACATGTTTTGATCTATGTGGATCTTCATCTGGTCAGACCCCTACACGATTAAACTACAGCTTTGTGGGATTGTTTGTGTCCTTTATGTACATAACTGTCAGATGTTCTATACATCAGTGCAGCTAGAAGCTCTCATTGAACTGTCAAAACAACATGGCTTATATTTGATAAAGGACTATGCACTAGTGTTGGATTAGGCAACTGTACTCCTCGTAGGCATCTGGTAGTAATACTAGTAGGCTTGCTCTCCAGTTTGGCACCAAACCACAACCACCACCCTGAGCCAACATGATCTCATATTAAACAAGGGAACCATCTAGATCAGTCGAGACCATGCTTAGTAGAATCAGACAATGTCATTAACCAGGGTCATCTGCTTCTTCTCCCACTAGTCTTCCACTTTTATTCTGCCTTTATTTCTTTATGAAGAGTGGGATGGCAGAATGGCCTGTTCCCAAAAATGTGCTTTAGCTGGCTAAGCCGCCTCCTTGTAAATTATTTATATGCTTTCCAAGTAACTCATGGATTTACCCAACCTCCGATACAAAATGTTATTCTGTAGTCCTTTCAGCTGTGATTGCATACATTTGACTGCTTTTGTATGTAAGAAAAATCATGCAATTCTGTAATTATTGATGAAGCATCATGTCATAGCTTTGGATAAATAATTGTATTTGTCTTATCCCAGTTAACCATTGGTCTGTGTTCAGGGACCAGTCGTATGGGTTGGGCTCATTCAAAATCATTCTGTCTGCTGCTGTATGATCCTGCTTGAAGTTTTATTCTTATTAAACATGTTCAAAGATGCATCTGTCTCATTTTCTTCCGCTCTCCTTGCGCAACCTCACTCCGCTTTCAGTGCTATTGTAGATTTTACAGTTGTGTCTAGTAGAACATTTCTGCTTCATAGGAAATGGGGTTGTTGCAAGTATACTGAATAAAAATATAAATGCAACAACTTCAAAGATTTGACTGAGTTACAGTTAATATAAGGAAATCAGTAAATTGATCCCCCCCATCATGCTGTTTAATCAGATTCTTGATTTGCGACACCTGTCAGGTGGGTGGATTATCTTGGCAAAGGAGAAATGCTCACTAATAGGGATGTAAACAGATTTGTGCACAGAATTTGAGAGAAATAAGGTTTTTGTGCATATGGAAAATGTCTGGGATTTTTTATTTCAGCTCATGAAACATTTATATGTTGCGTTTATATTTTTGTTCAGTGTAGTTCCTTTCCACAGAGAGCCTCTACTTCCTAAAGCGGCTGAAGAAATTAGGCATGCCACCCCGGGTCCTCTCCAAATACTACCACTGCACCATCAAGAGCGTTCTGACCGGTTGCATCACGGCCTGGTACGGGAATTGCTCTATCCACGACCTCAAGGCCCTCCAGCAGGTGGTGAAGACTGCCCAGTACATCACTGGGGCCGTGTTCACACCCATCAAGGACATCTACTTGAAACGGTGCCTGAGGAAGTCCTACAGCATCATCAAGGACCCCACACACACCCCAGCTTCACCGTAGGGATGGTGCTAGGTTTCCGCCAGACGTGACGCTTGGCATTCAGGCCAAAGAGTTAAATCTTGGTTTCATCAGACCAGATAATGTTGTTTCTCATGGTCTGAGTGTCCTTTAGGTGCCTATTGGCAAACTCCAAGCAGGCTGTCATGTGCCTTTTACTGAGGAGTGGCTTCCGTCTGGCCACTCTACCTTAAAAGCCTGTTTGGTGGAGTGCTGCAGAGATGGTTGTCCTTCTCGAAGGTTCTCCCATCTCTACAGAGGAACTCTGGAGTTCTGTCAGAGGGACCATCGGATTCTTGGTCACCTCCCTGACCAAGGCCCTTTGTCACGAGAATTTCTATCTCTTAATTAAACTCAAGCTTGAATAATTCCCAGAGGTTGTAATGCTCTGGTTTTAATCATGAATTAAACAAGGTCCACAACCAGCAAGAATAATCTGTATGTTTATTCATGAGAGCTCTAGCGCCAAAAAATACACACAGCCTTTTATATCCCTTCACACAAAGGAACTTTGCTCCGCCCACCTTTAGGCGGCCTGTACATTTCCACAGTATAGAATGATTAACCAGTTTCCCCTCCCTCATGGAATGTTTGTCTCAGCAGTTTCTAACTCCCCCGCCTCGGTTAGTGGGTTTATACTACATTATAACTCTAACACAGTTCACACATTTATACCGTATTTGGGATGAAATCCTTTAGTCATTATTTTAAAATACAAATTCATCTATCACCCTTCTCCCCCGATTGCTCAGTTTGGCCGAGCGGCCAGCTCTAGGAAGAGTCTTGGTGGTTCCAAACTTCTTCCATTTAAGAATGATGGAGGCTACTGTGTTCTTGGGGACCTTCAATGCTGCAGAAATGTTTTGGTACCCTTCCCCAGATCTGTGCATCGACACAATCCTGTCTCGGCGCTCTACGGACAATTCCTTCGACCTCATCGCTTGGTTTTTGCCCTGACATGCAGTGTCAACTGTGGGACCTTATATAGACAGGTGTGTGCCTTTCCAAATCCAGTTGTAGAAACATCTCAAGGATGATCAATGGAAATAGGATGCACCTGAGCTCAATTTCGAGTCTCATAGCAAAGGGTCTGAATACTTATGTAAATAAGGTATTTGTTTTTTTATTTTTTATACATTTGCAAAAAATAAAAACATGTTTTCGCTTGGTCATTATTGGGTATTGTGGCGCAGTGGTCTAAGGCACTGCATCACAGTGCTAGCTGTGCCACTAGAGATCCTGGTTCATATCCAGGCTCTGTCGTAGCCGACCGCAACCGGGAGACCCATGGGCCGGCGCACTATTGGCCCAGCGTCGTCCAGGGTAGGGGAGGGAATGGCCGGCAGGGATGTAGCTCAGTTGGTAGAACATGGCGTTTGCAACGCCAGGGTTGTGGGTTCGATTCCCATGGGTTCGATTCCTATGAAAAGTATGAAAAATAAAAAAAGAATGTATGCACTCACTAACTGTAAGTCGCTCTGGATAAGAGCGTCTGCTAAATGACTAAAATGTAAAAATGTAAATGTAGTTATAATAAGGCTGTAACGTAACAAAATGTGGAAAAAGTCAAGGGGTCTGAATGCTTTCCGAATGCACTGTATTTTTATCGAAGAGAGCATACAGCTAGCTAAATCCATGGGCTTTTATGTTTTTCTGTTGTGCATAATGTGCAGTAGCCTATATATCATATACATTTACATTTACATCATTTAGCAGACGCTCTTATCCAGAGCGACTTTATTATTATCAAATTTTTAATTTTCATTTGTTTTATATATATATATTTTTTATTTTTTTTATTTTTTTGTGGGGGTGGGGTAGGGGGGGGGTAGAAGGATTACTTTTATACTATCCCAGGTATTCCTTAAAGAGGTAGGGTTTCAAGTGTCTCCGGAAGGTGGTCAGTGACTCCGCTGTCCTGGCGTCGTGAGGGAGCTTGTTCCACCATTGGGGTGCCAGAGCAGCGAACAGTTTTGACTGGGCTGAGCGGGAACTGTGCTTCCGCAGAGGTAGGGGGACCAGCAGGCCAGAGGTGGAAGAACGCAATGCCCTCGTTTGGGTGTAGGGACTGATCAGAGCCTGAAGGTAAGGAGGTGCCGTTCCCCTCACAGCTCCGTAGGCAAGCACCATATACAGTATGTATTGGATAACAGCACAATCATTTGGTCTTTTTTGGGCTTGGAATCTTTAATGTATGGCTCATCAGGTAGCATCAGGCTTGAATTTTCGATCAAAGCTCTAATCAAATCCAGACATAGGCCTATTTATAGTATATGCTTTATATGCTTTTGAATGACACACTGGTCAGGAAATACCGGGTTACCCTGGAGAAAAGGGATTTATTCTCGGGATGGAACAGTTGTAAAATACCGGGAAAATATTCAACCCTAGACACCACCTGTTGCAGTCTGAGAGACAGACGTCACGTCTGTCAGACACAGATTATTTCTATCTATCACAAAATAAATGCCTCATATGGTTTAGGAGACCATCAAATTATGCTAAAATTAGAGGGTGTGTGCGTGCGTATGTGCGTGCCATGTGTGCATAATCCCAGTACCCCTGCACTCGGAGGTGACTACGTGCAGTCGGCGTGACAACGCACACACTCCTTCTGCTCCTCGCTGGGGAAGAAGCCCCTGCGGCAGTCATCCACACACTGATCTTTATGCAGGAGGTAGTACTCCTCACACTCTGATGCAGAGAGACACTGGGAGATGCGCTAAATACATAGAAATAGAATGACTCCTATGGGTACACTCAATATGGAGGCCATATTGAGTGTAATTCTGTTTCTATGGCTAAATGATATGAGATTAGAGAGAGAGAAAGAACGATGGAGTGATAGAGATGGAGTGGATATTTTTGTACAGTAGCTGACCTGTCTCTGCATCACGTCCCCACCACCCCCTTTTACCCTAACCCCACCACCTCTGTTCCCCCTGCAGCAGCCTTACCCTTACACAGGCAGTCGCGGCTGCACTCTAGGCAGACGTGTGGGCAACGTAGACACTCGCCCTCGTTGGGGTAGTGCCCGTCGGGACAGTGCCCTATGCAGGAGTGCTCCAGTAGCAAGGACTGGGTCACACACCTCAGGGAGTGGGTGGCGTTCCCCTGGGATGAGGCACACTCTAGGGCACAGGGGATGGCACTCTGCCCCCTTAGGGTAACCCCTGCACAGAGGAGGGGGGAGAGAGGTGAAGTGACGGCAAGTAATTTTTTTTTTTCTAATGATATGATACAAAAAAGACACCCACAATGCTCCAGTTGGAGTGTGTGTGTAAGAGTGTAGTGCGTGTGTATGCATATATGAAAGTCACATATCAGTTTCGATGGGAAGGGATGGAAGAATGGGAATATATTAATAAGTAGATCTGACCTCTGGCACTCGGGAACACACTGGTCGCCCTGCAGGTAGAGGTGTGTGTGTCCAGTCCGGCACCTCTGGCACCGGTGGGCATCCTGGCACAGAGCACAGCCTGGCATTGCCGAAAGTACCAGACAGGCACTTCGTCACACACGCCTGGCGGGCTGCCAGAAAGCGCTCTACAGGTGCCACACTACGCCTGGCGGGCTGCCAGAAAGCGCTCTACGGGTGTCACACTACGCCTCTATGTTTTCATTATTCTTCAAAGAAGTGTAGTATTTTCTAAACAGATTGTCACTCCTCACCTTCACATACACAATTAAACCACACCATCAAACTATAGTAAAGGTGACTTAAGAAGTACTAATACAGGTGAGAGAACGCAGATAAATTACAGAGGCAATTACCCCCCGCCACGGACCGAGGAGGACATAGCAATCAGGCACACTAAATCCCATGCACTCAACTCTTACCTGTGTCACAGATGTTACACTGATCCTTCCCAGAGCCTGCGCATGTCTTACAACTGGAGTGGCACTGCTCACATTCACCCTGACCTGAGCAGAGAATGAGTTAAATAATGAGACTTTTATTGGAACAAAAGAGAAACGAGGAATGACTGGACAACCTTCGCATGCCACATCAAACTGTCTCGTGCATGGGCCGGATTTGGCCCACTGGCCACCAGTTGCAGACCCCTGAACTTATATGAAGTGTTAGTTAGGTAAGTATGAAGTTCAGATGAGGCCTTACTGTTGAGGAAACGCTTGTCAGGGCAGGAAGCAGAGTGGTGTCCACACACTCTCAGTCTTTCAGAGTGAAGTCATCCTCGCATGAGTCACAGTCGTCATAGTTGGGCCCGCCGCACGTCTGACACATGCAGTGACACAGTTCGCATTCCTGACTCTCCTCGACCAACAAAGAACCCCTCCTTACACTGCTCCACACACTCTCCGTTTGGAAACGCACACACTTGTTTAATGACCAATGACATAAAGTGTGTGTTCTACCAAATTATTCACTGACAAAATTCAGAGTAGAAATATCAACTGAATGATGGGTCCTACCTGAGACGTAGAAGTCCTCACACCAGTAGTACTGGGACTGGTCACAGTTGGAACAGTGGCTGTCCTCACACTTGACACACGTCATGGTATCATTCACTCTGTAGGTCCTGTTTGGGCAGCTTCAGTCGGAATCAGGCCCCAACCTCCACCTTCATATCACAATATATCTGTAGGCTGCAGTGCAACTGTCAAAGATGATTCAACAATAATTCATTTACTGGTAGTACTCCTTTGCACAGGTGACGCTTTGCTTGGGGTTTTCTGTATGGCGACAAGGGTTGGTGTCAATCATTAATCGAAAAGTCAGTTTCATTGTACATCTCCTTCACCTTGGCAGTTACTGGGTGCATCGCAATTCTGAAACGTGGCTTCCTCTATCAGTCTCCTCTTCATCATCTGCACTGATCCGAAAACACTACGCTAGGTGAAGGCAATATGGTGGATAAGATATTCACCGTGAATTTGCTCTAAATCGCTCCATCACATCAGTGAATGTGAAAGCAGGGGGATGAGGAGAGGAAGCCACTATTGAGATGCACCCAAGAGCTCTCATTTGAAGCACTCCCTTTTCATGCCAGCAGACAGCAGCATAGCATCACATAAAACCAGGCAGTCACCTCTCCTACACCTATCTGCCCACTGTGGGGGATGAATAGGATCCATTTGAACATACTAATGCAGCCTAATCCAATCCAAACTATCCTCTCCACATTTAATATGCGAAGTTCACCAAGTTCAAACCAATCACAACCAGCTCAGCCCACAGATATCACAAAAACAGAGACCACTGGGTGAGTTAATCTGTCTCAGGACTGTCGCAATTAAAAAGTGTGAATAGGTGTTGGCATACAAGAAGAGGGTGTACACTCATATTTGCTAACCCTAACCCAGAGTTTTAATGATAACCTTGAGCATGACTCAACCTGGCCTGTAACTAACAGTAAGCCACTAACCCAAAACCCTCCAACCTAATTCCCCTCCCAGCCATCAGAGAGTTGCCTGGGATACGCCTTACCCTATTCCTGTCATCCCCTCAGCTCTCGGCAGCCAAAACATCCCTGGAGGAACGACAGGAGCAACAAAAGCTCATTCTTCAGCCGTGCCCCATGGGGCATTCCTGGGAGACAGGGCTGCTCTCTTCCAGCGCATCGCTACGTGGCTACGCGGCTAGGCTAGCCCAAGCATCCCAGCACCCAAAAGCCAACACTGCATTAGACGACACTACAGGGGGGAACAAGCCTCTACCTGGGAGAGCAATTATTCAGAGAGAGAGAGAGTGATTTCCTTCAGATTACACAGGTCCACAAAGAATTCGAAAAAAAATCCAATAAACTCCCATATAAGGTGAAATACCACAGTGTGCCATCACAGCAGCAAGATTTGTGTCCTATTGCCACAAGAAAAGGGCAACCAGTGAAGCACAAACACCATTGTAAATGCAACCCATATTTATCTGTTTATTTATTTTTTCCTTTTGTTCAACTATTTGCACGTTGTAGCAACACGGTATATAGCCATAATATAACAAATCTCCATTATTTTGTGTAATGTTTACTGTTAATTTCTGATTGTTTATTTCACTGTTGTTTATTGTCTATTTCACTTGTTTTAGCAATGTAAACATACATTTCCCATGCCAATAAAGCCCTTTGAATTGAATTGAGTGAGAGAGCGAGCGAGAAGGAATGGGGGAGAGGAGCGAGAGAGAGAGAGAGAGAGAGAGAGAGATGGTGGGTGGAATGGAGGTATAGAAAGACATAAGGAGAGCAAAGAGCCGGAAATCAGGCCTTCAGGCCCTGTCTATTCCACATCAGGGAAAAAAAACGCCTCACATAAATATTAATGGAGCATGCCAAGAGGAAAACTTCTACAGCTTTTCAAAACACACACATAAATTGAGGCATAGACATTATAGACATTACAAACACACACACACACACTTCATATGGCACAGTCAGTAAAATGCAAACGCACAAGCTGTATAAGCAAAGTCTCTGTGGGGTTACTCAATCCCCCTGGGAAACAAGGGAGATGAAGTTTACAAGAGACCCGTAAGAGGTCATTATGTGACTCCTGGTTCAGGTGCTATTTCCCCCTACAGAGCGAGCAGGGGATCAGAACAGTACTGTGCGCTATGCTCTACGAGGTGTATGGAGGGTTTATGAAGACATCAAGACAACTGTGGAGAGAGAGCGCGAGAGAGAGAAGAGAGAGAGAGAGAAAGAGAGAGAGAAAGAGAGAGAGAGAAAGAGGGAGAGAGAAAGAGAGAGAGCGAGAGAGAAAGAGAGAAAGAAAGAGAGAGATCACACTCAGTAGAAATATCTGGTTCATCAAATTACAGGCTCTTTCACACTCCCTCTCATCTTACTCTTAGCATCCTTACAGTTTGGAGAAGTTCCTGTTCCAGTTTAGATACGCACGTAATCAGAACCTGCATGCAAAAAGTGGTAGAAGGGGAGGGGGGCTATAGACATGGGGGTCTGCTATCTCTTTGAAGGGGTCCACACACACTTGGTTTTTATCAACAAACTGATTGCTCACTTCATCTCTGACATTTTAGCCGGTGGCATCAAGTCCCCGGAACAATAATCTCAAAGTCTTCATCTGTGGCTTGTCTTTTATTTCAGAGGTTTATAATTACCAAAAGTAGGGAGGCGGGTGGGGGGGATGGTGGTGACGGTGAACAAAGACATTCCCCCCATGATGAATAACATCTTGCATGTGCCTTTCTTAGTTTTGACTGAATAATACAGAATAATGGCTTTCTGGTATGCTGATGGGCTTCGCCCGAAATGGTCGAAGATACAGACCTGGCATTCAACTAGGGTGTAGGAAACGGAAATGGTTCTCACAGGAAGGTTTTGGGGGTCTGAAAGGATGTTAAGATGATCAGTATTATTGTAACACTTCTAAGTGTTAGTCTTAGGTCTTGGGGGGATTTGAGGCAGTCTAGTCTGTAGTGGTCTATAGTGGTCTGAAGCGGGGGTCCAAAGTAGAGTTCCGTGGACTCGCAAAGGTGTATACCTACTCTGCAGCCATTTATTACAGCTCTCTTCACGGGGCAGGTAATCCTCATACTCTGGGTCCTCCACCTCACCTGTAGGATAGATACATCAAAGACATATGGATCTATCAACACTGGCACCACCGCAGCCACTCAAATGTCCAAAACATTGCTTTATACTAAGTAGTATGCTAGCGTAGATATTGGAGTCATACATACTCATTGGACTATCAGGCGCACAGTAACATGCCATTGCTATCTATGACCAACGCTGGATGAGAGACTAAGGTGAAATAGGGGTGTAGCGGCTTTACAGCAGAACAAAGTGGGGAAGGTGTTAAATGCAAGTGATGGGGCGTGAGCTGTGGCAGGTTTCAGGGCCCATGCAGGGGATCAGTTTGGACATGTCTGCCACATATGATAAGAATTTCCTCTCTCTTTATCTCTCATTGACTTGTTTTAGCAGTGTCTCTGTGGTTTTCAATATGTCTCCCTCTCAAACATTTTATCTGTCTGTCTCAGTCTCACAGACAGTCAATCTCTCCTGGGAGTAATAAGGACATCAGACAAATACAAACAATAATCTGTCCTAGGTTGCAACACTCACTACCTAGTTCCAAACTACCTCTGGAAGCAACGTCAGCACAATAACTGTTCGTCGGGAGCTTCATGAAATGGGTTTCCATGACCGAGCAGCTGCACACAAGCCTAAGATCACCATGCGCAATGCCAAGAGTCAGCTTCACCATTTGGCAGTCCCACGGATGAATCGGAGTTTGGCGGATGCCAGGAGAACGCTACCTGCCCGAATGCATAGTGCCAACTGTAACGTTTGGTGGAGGAGGAATAATGGTCTTGGGCAGTTTTTTCATGGTTTGGGCTAGAACCCTTAGTTCCAGTGAAGGGAAATCTTAACGCTACAGCATACAATGACATTCTAGATGATTATGTGCTTCCAACTTTGTGGGAACATTTTGGGGAAAGCCCTTTCCTGTTTCAGCATTGCAATGCCCCCGTGCAACAAAGCGAGGTCCATACACAAATGGTTTGTCTAGATTGGTGTGGAAGAACTTGACTGGCCTGCACAGAGCCCTGACCTCAACCCCATCGAACACCTTTGGGAAGAATTGCAACGCCGACTGCGAGCCAGGCCTAATCGCTCAACATCAGTGCCCAACCTCACTAATGCTCTTGTGGCTAAATGGAAGCAAGTCCCTGCAGCAATGTTCCAACATCTAGTTTAAAGCCTTCCCTGAAGAGTGGAGGCTGTTATAGCAGTAAAGGCGGGACCAACTCCATATTAATGCCCATGATTTATGAATGAGATGTTCGATGAGCAGGTGTCCACATACTTTCTGTCATGTAGTGTATCTGGGGGATTATGGTTGAAAATAAACAGAAGATCCCTTATGCACTGGTTTTCATGACTTTATAATATACACTTATAAGTATATAACGCATAATATATGCTAACAATTAACAGTAAGTGTATCATTCATGACATTGAGTTTTCAAAACATTAGGAACACCTTCTTAATATTGAGTTGCACCCACTTTTGCCTTCAGAACAGCCTCCATTCGTCGGGGCATGGACTCTACAAGGTGTCGAAAGCGTTCCACAGGGATGTTGGCCCATGTTGACTCCAATGCTTTCCCACAGTTGTGTCAAATTGGCTGGATGTCCTTTGGGTGGTGTACCATTCTTGATACACATGAGAAACTGTTGAGTGTGAAAAACCAAGCAGCGTTGCAGTTCTTGACACACTCTACCATACCCTGTTCAAAGGCACTTTATTTGTCTTGCCCATTCACCCTCTGAATGGCACACATACACAATCAATGTCTCAATTGTCTCAAGGTTTAAAAATCTTTCTTGAACCCGTCTCCTCCCCTTCATCTACACTGATTGAAGTGGATTTAACAGGTGGAATCAATAAGGGATCATAGCTTTCACCTGGTCAGTCTATGTCATGGAAAGAGTAGAGTGTTCCTAATGTTTTGTACACTCAGTGTAGATGTGTATGTCTGTGTGGTGTGTGCATGAGTGAGTGCATGTGTGCTAAGGTGCATAGAATCAGAGCAGGTGGTCAGTCCAGTTCAAGTGTTCAGAAGTCTGATGGCTTGTAGATAGAAACTGTCTCTGAGCCTGTTGGTATCAAAAACCATGCTTCGATACCATCTGCCCGACGGTAAGGGAGAGAACAGCTCGTGGCTGGGGTGTGTGGGGTCCTTGATGATGCTGGGTGCCTTCCTCAGGCCCCGTTTCGAGTAGATGTCCTTGATGGGTGGGAGCATGGTCCCAGTGATGTACTGGGCCGTCTTCACCACCTGCTGGAGGGCCTTGAGGTCGTGGGCGGAGCAATTCCCGTACCAGGCCGTGATGCAACCGGTCAGAACGCTCTCGATGGTGCAGCAGTAGTATTTGGAGAGGACCCGGGGTGCCTTCTTCAGCCGCCTTTGGAAGTAAACGCTGTTGTGCCCTCTTGACAAGAGTTGTGGTGTTGTTGGTACATGACAAGTCCTCAGTGATGTGGATGCCGAGGAACTTAAAACTTGTGACTCTCTCTACTGCAGTTAGTTGGGCTTGATAAGGCGATGGCATAAAGTCAACACAGGCTTTACATTAAAGTACAGTTAGCTCTTCTAACATCTGTGATCCGATCTGTTCATACATTCATAATAAGCTTTAATAATACGTTTTAATAATGCTCCATGTAGCTTTATACAATGGGTGGATCTAATCCTGAATGCTGATTGGTTAAAACTGCGTTCCAGCCAGTGTCTATTTAAGCAATAAGGCCAAAGGAGGTGTGGTATATGGCCAATATACCATGGCTAAGGGCTGTTCTTAGGCACTACGCAACGCAGAGTTTATAATCCACAAATTCCCACCGGTGTCAGTGCCAGATCTGACTGCCTACCATATCTGACTGACCATCGCGCAGATCTGCGTCACAAACATTTTGGAAGCTGATTCGCTGCTTCTCTCCCATAACTCCACCCTATAGTTACTGTTGCTACGATGAATCCACACGTACTAGGAGGTCAAGGGAGAAGGGGAGCCAGATCGGGCAAGGTGCTGCTAGCAGCTAAAATGATGGCTAGTACACGTAGCTAGCTAGCTATCTGGCTATGGTGAGAGGCAACTGTGCTCTGTTAACTAGCTAGCAACCCGTTTTTACTGTATAAATTACTTGATTGGTTTGTATTTATTTTACTTTTTAGAATAAAGAAGAATCAGTGGCTAGCTAGCTACATTAACAACAAGCCAAGGAAGACATCAACAAACCGTCTTAGATAAATGTATTTTTTGTCTTGTAATTTTACATTTGGAAGGTGCATTGAAACAATTAGCTAGCTAACTAGATAGCATGGTAATATATTTTCTATCACAGCCAGCTAGTAGGTTACAGTGAGGGAAAAAAGTATTTGATCCCCTGCTGATTTTGTACGTTTGCCCACTGACAAAGAAATTATAAGTCTATAATTTTAATGGTAGGCGGCAGGTAGCTTAGTGGTTAAGAGCGTTGTGCCAGTAACCGAAAGGTCGCTGGTTCTAATCCCCGAGCCAACTAGGTGAAAAATCTGTCGATGTGCCCTTGAGCAAGGCACTTAACCCTAATTGCTCCTGTAAGTCGCTCTGGATAAGAGCGTCTGCTAAATGACTAAAATGTAAATGTAAAATGTAAAATTTGAACAGTGAGAGACAGAATAACAACAACAAAATCCAGAAAAACGCATGTCAAAAATGTTATAAATTGATTTGCATTTTAATGAGGGCAATAAGTATTTGACCCCCTCTCAATCAGAAAGATTTCTGGCTCCCAGGTGTCTTTTATACAGGTAACGAGCTGAGATTAGGAGCACACTCTTAAAGGGTGCTCCTAATCTCAGCTTGTTACCTGTATAAAAGACACCTGTCCACAGAAGCAATCAATCAATCAGATTCCAAACTCTCCACCATGGCCAAGACCAAAGAGCTCTCCAAGGATGTCAGGGACAAGATTGTAGACCTACACAAGGCTGGAATGGGCTACAAGACCATCGCCAAGCAGCTTGGTGAGAAGGTGACAACAGTTGGTGCGATTATTCGCAAATGGAAGAAACACAAAAGAACTGTCAATCTCCCTCGGCCTGGGGCTCCATGCAAGATCTCACCTCGTGGAGTTGCAATTATCACGAGAACGGTGAGGAATCAGCCCAGAACTACACGGGAGGATCTTGTCAATGATCTCAAGGCAGCTGGGACCATAGTCACCAAGAAAACAATTGGTAACACACTACGCCGTGAAGGACTGAAATCCTGCAGTGCCCGCAAGGTCCCCCTGCTCAAGAAAGCACATATACAGGGCCATCTGAAGTTTGCCGATGAAAATCTGAATGATTCAGAGGAGAACTGGGTGAAAGTGTTGTGGTCAGATGAGACCAAAATCGAGCTCTTTGGCATCAACTCAACTCGCCGTGTTAGGAGGAGGAGGAATACTGCCTATGACCCCAAGAACACCATCCCCACCATCAAACATGGAGGTGGAAACATTATGCTTTGAGGGTGTTTTTCTGCTAAGGGGACAAGACAACTTCACCGCATCAAAGGGACGATAGACGGGGCCATGTACCGTCAAATCTTGGGTGAGAACCTCCTTCCCTCAGCCAGGGCATTGAAAATGGGTCGTGGATGGGTATTCCAGCATGACAATGACCCAAAACACACGGCCAAGGCAACAAAGGAGTGGCTCAAGAAGAAGCACATTAAGGTCCTGGAGTGGCCTAGCCAGTCTCCAGACCTTAATCCCATAGAAAATCTGTGGAGGGAGCTGAAGGTTCGAGTTGCCAAACATCAGCCTCGAAACCTTAATGACTTGGAGAAGATCTGCAAAGAGGAGTGGGACAAAATCCCTCCTGAGATGTGTGCAAACCTGGTGGCCAACTACAAAAAACGTCTGACCTCTGTGATTGCCAACAAGGGTTTTGCCACCAAGTACTAAGTCATGTTTTGCAGAGGGGTCAAATACTTATTTCCCTCATTAAAATGCAAATCAATTTGTAAACATTTTTTAGATGTGTTTTTCTGGATTGTTTTGTTGTTATTCTGTCTCTCACTGTTCAAATAAACCTACCATTAAAATTATAGACTGATCATGTCTTTGTCAGTGGGCAAACGTACAAAATCAGCAGGGGATCAAATACTTTTTTCCCTCACTGTATGATGCACTGAAGTTACTA